GTGTAAATCTTTATGGGAGTAGAAAGCCTCATCTTTCTCCCGCGGAGCGGCTGGTAGTTTCGAACCGCTGACCTTAAGGTTCGCAGCCCGATTCTATAAAAAAGATTAATATACAAATACAATAATGTTAATTTTGATAAAACATTTTCTGAGATTTTGATTTTAATATTTGATTTTTTATGCTTCAAAAAAATAGAAGTTTATTTAAGCAGCTATATGTAATTATGGAGACCTGGTGTGGCACTGTATGATAAGCGCTCGATCACAGGATAGGTTTGAACTGCAGGGTCAGTGGTTCAAACTCACCAGTTGCTCCTAGGAAACCTTATGCAGAGTCCTATGAGTTGCAACCAACTGAACTGCACATAACAACAAATATGTAATTATAGTAAAAAAAAAAAAATAAATGTCTACACAAAATATTATTTAAGTACTAATTTCTAATTGTGGCCCTGAAGGATAAGCACTAGACTGCAAGGTTGGTTTAAATTCCAAGGTCGGCAGTTCAAATCCACCAGCCACTCCTCAGGAACCTTGTACAGGATCTCTTTGAGACAGAACTGACACAACTATCATTAAGCAATAATAATAGGATAAATGATAACATTTGATTATTTTATTTTTAAAATTGAAAACTAAAATATGTTTTATCAACTCATGCCTTCCAATGCTTTCAGGATTTCCAGTGTCATGGTAAGTTTGTTTTGAATACATGAATCAAGTTTGCATGGTAACAATTAAAAATTATATTTTTGATTTAAATATTACCAATTTGGTCTGGATCACTATTTCAGAAGAATTATAGATTGTCACTGAAACTGTTAATTGCCTTATATTTATTTTCATCATCATCATTATTGTAGGGTTCCACTGGATTTCCTGGGTTCCCAGGTGCTAATGGAGAGAAAGGTGCCAGGGTATGATATATATGTATATTATTCTAGACTATCTAATACAGATACTTTTGCATGAATTCCCATATCTCAGCATCAAACCTCTCATTTACTGTAATAATATTGCATACTGAAACTGTTTGAATTTTCTCTGGCAGGGTGTAGCTGGCAAACCAGGCCCCCGGGGTCAGCGTGGTCCAACGGTGGGTGCCTTGATTTAAAATAATGATTCATATTTTTTATATTGGATATAGTAATTCAACAGTTTTTTTCAAATATAAAAATTGATTCTATACCTTGCATTTGCTTAACACTAGATCAACCTCATCTTTTGTTCTCATATGTAGGGCCCCCGAGGTTCAAGAGGTGCAAGAGGTCCCACTGGTAAACCTGGTCCAAAGGTATTGTCAGCACTTATTCCATTCTGGGCTTTACTGTAACTTCCTTCTCCCATATAAAGGAGTGTGTGAAAATGAATCAAATCTGATACTTCTTTTCTTTTTCCTTTTGCTGTTGATAGGGTACCTCAGGTGGTGATGGTCCCCCTGGACCTCCTGGTGAAAGAGTAAGTATGATACGACCATGTAAAGTAAAACAAAAATTATGCAACTTTTAAATTGTTGGGTAAACATGCATCTGTCTGCAACTATGTGTATACAATCATCCTCAGTCCTGGCTACAGTTGAAAAAAAAATCCTATTTTAATTTACTCTTCTGAAGAAAATGCTTAATTGGCTATGTATTATTATTTTTATTAAGAATAGAGTGAAAAACTGGCCTGAAATACAACTCGTATATCCAAGCCAAAACATTTTTTTTAAAACATACCTATGCTCTCTCATCCTTTCCTTTTGCTTCCCATATGCATAAGTATTTTGTTCAAGAAGCAGGCAAGAGCATTATGCTGGTGAAATGCAAGCTACCAGTAGCCATTAAACCACAATCAATACGCATTCAAATCAAGATAAAACATCTATTCCAGTAACTAGAAAAACTATTTAGTAAATTGATTTTCAATTGATATAAAATAATGCTAAATACAGATGAGCAAGCATGACTTTTTTTAGGCTTATTTGGCAAAATACAGCATTTTTGTAGCCAGATAATTTTAATGCTATCATCTTACAAGAATGTTTTAAATAAAGGTCTTCATTTCCAAGAACTAAATTAGACTCATTGTTTAATATTTTATAAAAACTTTCAGTATTATACTTCTATATATTATAATACATTTATATATTAATTTCAGAACTCATATTAGACATTTTAGAAAAAGTAAAACAAACACTTTGATGTATAACAAATCTGAGGAAGAGTTTATATGCATATGTTAATTAGTGGTTACGTGCCATGGAGTCAGTTTCTACTTACACTGACCCTTTGCAAGGCTGTAAAACTTTACCAGAGCAGAAAGCCTCATCTTTCTCCCGCAGAACAACTGATAGTTTCAAATTGCTGACCTTGAGGTAAGCATCCTTATTCATAACCATTACACTACCAGAGCTCCTTATATGTGTGTGTATATACATACATATTATTATTATTATTATTTTGGGTAAGGAAAAATGAGTAACTTAAGTGTGTGTCTATGACACGTATGTTAGATAGGAAGATATAAACAAGAATAAACATTTAATTAGAGAAGTTTCAAGGCTCATAGTTAAGCACAAACTGTCATACCGTAGTGTTTTTGTAAAGTGCCATCGAGTTGGTTCTGACTCATGGTGACCCTGTATAGGGTTTCTGAGAAGTCATTCAAACCGACTTTGCAGTCCAGTGTATTTTGTTGCCGCATCACACCAGGATTCCAAAACCCCCTAACTAAGCCTAGTATTTTACCTCACTGTCATGGTGTGGTGCTGTAAAATCAGCACTGGACTTCGAGCCATAGGTTGGCAGTTCAAACCTACCGCTGCTCCTCAGAAAGCCTATATGGTGTCTCTGTGAGTCAGAACCGACTCAAGGCACTTAACAATAACCTAAATTAGGACTCAAACACACTGTTTATAGTGTGTCATTATGTACTTCCTGCCTGGCTTGAAAACCAGGCAGGTTTGTCTTTATATTAGATTAATATAAAGAAAACATGAACATTTTTCTGTGAAATTTTATAAAGAAAGACATACATTTTTTTCCTCTGAAGTTAAAATTTTAACTGTTTTTTAAAAGTTATTTAAATTAAACAATTTAAAAAGATTTAAAATTTTTCTGCCTTTATGTATTAATTTACATCTTTGAAAAGCAACAAAATTTAGAAAGCTAAGAAATGAAGCTTTGAGAAAAAAAAATAATAATAAATTGCTGCCATATTCTAAAGAAGTTGTTTTTTATTTTTGTTATTGTCTTGTTATTATGCTAAATGTTTAAGAATCACAGTTTCATGGCTATGTGACAAAATCAAAATTAATGAATTTCTGAAAATGCTCCATTGTTTTTGTTAACTTCGTGTGTTATCTATTTTTTCCTGCACATTACCTCTAGTTTTGAAGTGTCTTATTTTAAGTTTTAAGATAAGATGCCAATAAGAGCAATAATGAATGTTCATTTCTGAACTAGACTTTGCTAAAGTATGGGCATGAAATTTCCTTTGTGAAGCCTAAATTCATAAGTATAAAGGAGTGCATTCTTTTAAAAATCTACTTCAGTAAAACTCATTATTAATTAAAAGTAAGTAAATATTACCAAAATTGTGTTAAGATATTTTATTTGCATTATCTTCTAATTTATATCTCTTCCTTTAAAAATTGTTTACTTTGTTCATAAAGGACTATAATCAATCATTTCTTTTTCACTAACATAGATATTGCATTGCAATAAGCATGCTTTATGCACTTTAAATATGTGTAAATATGAGAGCTGAATAATATAATTAATTATGCATCAGATCAATAGTAATATTATAAATGCGTATTTGGACAAAATGTTAATGAGGATAATTGTATTATAAGGCCCTTTTCATATTATCTACAAAATAAATTTGTACTTGAGTAAAATTAGATATTCACATCCTCTTAAAATAAGTACATTTTAAAATGATTCGTTAAAAATCTTTTCTATGATCTTTTTGAAATGGTCTCATATTTTTATCTTTCCTTTTATTTCTGTGTGACCAAATCACTTATAAAATTAATTTAAAAATAATTTTTAGTTTCTTGAGGTTTGGGGTTGAAATAAATAGTGAGAAAAATGATATTTTGCTTTCAATTAACATCAATAATCTTGTTTGTTTTTATAGTGTTGAAGGTGTGTGCCACATTGTATTTTATCAAACTGTAATGTATGGATATGTATCTGATAAGGCATATTCTGAAATGTGCCCCACTGTTCTTTATTTTCAGGGACCTCAAGGACCACAGGGTCCAGTTGGATTCCCTGGGCCAAAAGGTCCTCCGGTAAGTGTCATAGTTTCTGCTTTCTTCATTTTCAGTCTTTTCCAAATTTATGAGAGTCATACCTATAATTTAAAATAATTTCTAGATACAAATAATAAAGGAATCTCTATGGACATGAAATCGAAATTAAAAATAATATAGATATTTTCCATTTATATTCTTCATCATTTATTGTTGAATATAATTAATCATATTAAATATTATTTCAAAGTATATTAAATTAGAACAACATGAATATAATACACTCAGTTATTCCTCTTCTATTATTATTATTTATGGCATTAATACTTGTTAATCAAATACACCCACTGCTGTTGAGCCATTTTCTATTTATAGCAACTCTATAGGACCTGGTGTGGCACTGTAAGATAAGCACTGGACTACAAGGTCAGTTTGAAATGCAAGACTGGTGGCTCAAGCTCACCAACCACTCCTCAGAAACCCTATAGAGAGTCGCTATGAGTTGGAACCAACTTAACAGCATTTAACAAGAACATAGGACAGAGTAGAACAGCCCCGTAGGTTTTCCAATGTTGTAAATCTTTACAGACGCAAGCTACCACATCTTTATCCCACAGAGTAGCAGTTGGGCTCCAAATTCCAATCTTTTGATTAACATCTGAGCAATGTCACCACTATACCATCAGGGCTCCTTAATACCAATGAGCTTGGCTGCTAACCAAAATGTAGAAAGTTGGAATATATCCAGAAATGCCTTGGAAGAAATGCCTGGCATCTACTTCCAAAAAAATCAGCTATTGGTAACCCTACGGAGCACAGTCCTGCTCTTGCCTATTTGAGGTCACTGTGAGTCAGAATCAACTCAACAGAATCTGAGAAAAAGCACAACAAAGTAAAAGTAAAAAGTTCCAACAGACTGATAATGAAATTGGTGGTGGTGCTGTGCCATGCAGTCAGTTCTGACTCACAGAGAGCTTGCTGAGGGTTTCAGAGGCTAAAATTCTTTATGGGAACAGAAAACCTCAACTTTCTCCGACAGAACAGCTGGTAGTTTTGAACTGCTGACCTTCAGGTTAGCAGCTCGACTTGTATGTTACCAGAGCTCCTACGACTTTTTTTATTTTTTACTCTTGTTACTACGTTGTGTTCTTTTTTGAATATGTACTTAAATTTTTTTTTAATCATTTCCCTTTCATAAATTTTACTTAGAATAATACTCTTGAATATTTTCATCAAATAGCTTCACAAAAGTTTATTAAAAATCTTTATTTCATGCTTAAACATTCACAGAGACAAAGATAGGTCATGTGCAGTTGTTTTAATTAGTTTGCAACCTAGTCCATTTCTTGCATTAGAGTCAACCTATCTAGGTCAGTCCGACTCCACGGCACACAGCCACCATCACATCTAGGTCAGTGGTTCTCAAAATTTGTGGGTTAATGCACTGGACCACAGAGTTGGTTTGAACTGCAAGGTCAGTGGTTCAAGCTTAGCAGTCGCTCCTCAAAGACCCTATACAGGGTCACTATGAGTTAGAAACAACTCAACAGCACTTAACAACAGTCACCACCATTAGAATTAGTATCACTTGGAGGAGTACTTGTAATGCATTCTTCTGTACTTCATTTCCTTCCCTTATCAAATCAGAAACTAATCAATGTTTTGAAATACCATCCAGGTGTTTTGAAGCATGCTGAAGATTTAAACTACTAATCTAGTCTTGACTAGACAATGCTACCCAAATTTTAAATGATATCTTGCTTAAAATGTAAAATTTGATTCAGTGGGCCTGAGTAGGTCCCAAGACTTAACATTACTTACTATCAACTTTCTAGGAATGATGCCAATGCTATACTGGTCCTTATGGGCCACACTATGAGTAGCAAAGGTCTAGATAATTTTGGCAGAAAATTAAAAAAAAACAACACAATTTGAATATATTCTATTTTTCAGGAAACTAAGTGTAGTTGAGATTTTGAGTAAATTATTATATGAATTGAATGTTTTCCTATAATTTCTGGTTAATCACTGCTATTATTTTTATTATTGTTTTTATTCCCATCCTTTATATTTTTTTCAAGAAGTACATTGACAATACATTTTTTTAACTGAACCTTTTAAACTAATTCTGAACTGAAATCTTTGAATAACCACAACATCATGCTCCTGAATGAGCACATTAGTTTAAAATTTTAACCCATGTCACTGTTCCAAAATTTGCCTAGTCTAATTTTAAATAATTTTAAATTTGATTTAATGAAAAATTTCCAAAAGGAACAGTTCAGAAAAAGCTTAATATGCCAAAATTTTATTAAATATTTATTTCTGGTTGAATTATATTTAAAAATCTCTTTAAAATAATTTTCCACTAAAAAAGTACATTTGCTATTTTTTATTGATTTTAAATGTTTCAAATGTAGCTTTATTTTATCCATTTTTAAAAATGGATTCTTATCGTGAATTACTTGAGTCTCATTGTGTAGCTGAAATGCTGATTTTAGTAAATATTGAGGCAATTTCATTAAATATAGTGCTTAAAGTAGAATTTTAACACTAATCTGTTTAACATTATTACTGTAAAAAATATCAATAAAACATCCATATATACATTACAGTGCTAAACATATGCATGCAAGTAGCAGTATAAGATATAATATTGATAGTGTTGTAATTAAGTGACGTTGAATAGGTTCTGACTCATAGAGATTGTGTATAGGATTTTGGAGTAGCAACTGGTGGATTTGAACCTCTGGCCTTGCAGTTATCAGTCCAGTACTTATTTTATAGAGTCACACCAGAACTCTAATATTGACACTGTGTATAATGTTTCCATCCATTATATCAGTTGTGTTCCAAATACACATTATATCTATCTGTGAAAAGTTTGGCAGACATACATGTGAAAATACAGTTCTAATAATTATTATACACTGAACAATTTTTCATAAACATTGTCATGCATATTTTAAAACCATGTATACCATGTTCATATATTAATGTTTAACAGTATATCTACATCCAATGATATCTACAACTATAGAATTATTGTCCACCACTCATCTGTCATTTTGTTGTACTGTGATGGCTTGTATGTTGGTGTGATTATGGAAGGTATGCCATGAGTATTTAAATACCAGAAAGATCACCCACAATAGACAGGTTTCAGCTGAGCTTCCAGATAGACAGAATAGGAAAAAGGAGAGATGGACTATTTCCGAGTATTTAGTCAATGGAAACCTTATGAATAGCAGTGGAATATTGTCAGCACCAGATTATTGAATATTGAAACTTAATGTAGAACACCAGAATGCTGTGAGATATAGTGCTGGAAAATCAGACCCTAGGGTTGGAGGCCGTAAAAATGTGACTGGGAAAGAGTTACCTCCTCAAAGTAGAGTTGACTGTGATGATTCAAATAGAGCAAAGCCCTCGGGACCTTCATTTGCTGATGGACCACAACAGAAAATGAAGATAAACAGCTGTAAACATCCATTAATAATCAGAACTTGAAATGTACAAAAAGTATGAATCTAGGAAAATTGGAAATTATAAAAAATGAAATGGAACACATAAACATCTATATCCTAGGCATTAGTGAGCTGAAATGGACTGGTATTGGCAATTTTAATCTGGCAATCACATGGTTTATTATACTGGGAATTTCAAATTGAAGATGAGTGGAGTCACATTCATCATCAAAAATAGCATATCAAGATCTGTTTTGAAGTACAATGCTCTTTGTGATAGGAAAATATACATAAGCCTAAAGGAAGACCAGTTATTACCACTATTATTCAAACTTATGAACCAACAACTAAAGCCAGTGATGATGAAATAGTGTAGTGGTCACAGGCTGTGAACTGCAAGGTCAGCAGTTCAAAACTACCAGCTGTTCCGCAGGAGAAAGATGAGGCTTTCTGCTCCCATAAAGATTTATAGCCTCAGAAACCCTGTACAGGGTTGCTATGAGTCGGAGCTGACTCCACGGCACAAAACCACCACCACCAAAGGAAGACCAGTTATTACCACTATTATTCAAACTTATGAACCAACCACTAAAGTCAGTGATGATGAAATAGAAGAAGTCTACTAACTTCTTCAATCTGAAATTAATCAAACATGTAATCAAGATGTATTGATAATTACTGGCAATTGGAAGGCATAGGTTGGAAACAAAGAGGAAGGATCAGTGGTTGGAGAATATGGCCTTAGTGATAGAAATGATGCTGGAGAGCACATGATAAAATTTTGAAAGACCAATGGTTTGTTCATTGCAAATACCTTTTTTAAAAACCATAAAAGGCAATTATACACATGGACCTCACCAGATGGAATGCACAGAAACCAAATTGACTACATCTCTGGAAAGATGGTGGAAAACTCTGTACCATCAACCAAAGCAAGGCCAGGGGCAGACTGTGGATCAGACCATCAATTGCTAATATGCAAATACAGCCTGAAGCTAAAAAAAATTAAAACAAGTCCATGAGAACCAAAATGTGACCTTGAATATATCCCACCTGAATTTAGAGATCATCTGAAGAACAGATTTGATACATTAAACACTAAAGACGGAAGACCAGAAGAGTTGTGGGAGGACATCAAGAACATGATACATGAAGAAAGCAAAAAGTCATTAAGAACACAAGAAAGAATGAAAAGACCAAAATGCCAAGTACTTTTGGTTAATGATACAATGTTTCATTTGTAAGAAAAATAGTGTATAAAAATCACTTTGTTTAGCAGTGTTGTATTCTGTCACCATACTTATGCAATCTGTATGCTGAACAAAAATTTTAAGAAGCTAGATTACGTGAAGAAAAACATGGCATCATGATGATGAATGGAGGAAGACTCATTAACAACCTGCAATATGCACATGTTACAACCTTGCTTGTTGAAAGCTAAGAGGACTTGAAATATTTATAAAGATCAAAGATAACATCCTTTGCTATGGGTTGCACCTCAGTGTAAAGAAAACAAAAACTGTTACCATTGGACCAATAAACACCATCCATAAGGAGCTCTGGTAGTGTAGTGATTACGAATCGGGCTGCAAATCGCAAGGTCAGAAGTTCAAAACTATCAGCTGTCCTGTGGGAGAAAGATGAGGCTTTCTGCTCCCGTAAAGATTTACAGCCTCAGAAACGCTGTACAGGGTCTCTATGAGTCGGAACCAACTCGACGGCACATTATCACCACCACCATATAAACGGAAAAAAGATTGAAGTTGTCTAAGACTTCATTTTACTTGGGTCAACCATGAACCCTTGGGGAAGCAGCAGTCAAGAAATAAAACGACATATTGCAGTACGCAAATAAGTTGTACAAGACCTCTTTAAAATATTCAAAAGCAAAGATGTCTGTTTGAGGACTAAGGTACACCTGACCCAAGCCAGGGTGTTTTCAATAGCTTCATTTACATGCAACAGTTGGACAGTGAATAAGGAAGACCGTGGAATAATTGACGCATTTGAGTTATGGTGTTGGAGGAGAACATTGAAAGTACCATGTACTACCAAAAGAACAAACAGATCAGTGTTGTAAGAAGTACAGCCAGAGTGCTCCTTGGAAGCCACGATGACCAGACTCAATCTCTTATACTTTGGTTATATTATTATGAGGGACCAGTCCTTGAAGAAGGATACCATGTTTGGTAAAGAGGAGGGTAAGAGAAAAAGTAGAAGACTTGCATCAAGATCTATTAGCACAGTGTTAGCAGCAATGGGCTCAGTTGTAGCAATACTAGTGAGCTTTGTCCAGGGCTGGGAAGTGTTTCGTTTGATACCGACTTGATGGTAGGCACATAACAACAACAGCATTATTGTATCATTTGTATCTGTAAATCTTTCTAGGAATTAGTTCATCATATAATATAATGTTATTGTCAAGAAAGCATTTTGACCTATTTTTTTCAGAGATATTCAGTCTATTTTGATATGTATATTTCAGCATGTTTTAAAGTATTGCTTATGCATGCATTATATCTCTAAGCGATATTAGAAGTATAATAAATGCTTACACTTGAGAAATATGCAGTCATGGAGAGACATGACATTTTTAAGCAGCTTTGCTTTCACTGCTAAACAAAGTGATTTTATATACTACTTCTCTAACAACTGAAACATTGCATCATTAACCAAAAGTACCTGTAAATTTTTTTTTTTTTTTTTGGCAAGCAGCCTTAAGGCATTTATAAAAGGCATGATTTCAACTCTTTGATACAGAAGAAAGGAATAGGGGTAGAGGGATAGAACCAAGCTCATCCTTCAAACAAATTGGTTCATTTCAATTGTAATCAGGAAAAAGAAAACAAACAGTATATGTGTGTGTCTGGGATTCTTAAATGAATACATTATTAACATGCTTGGTTTCCACCTGAGAGGTTGTCAGGTAGAGTCCACAAACTTACTTTGAAAAAATAAGCTGTTGGAAACCCTGTGGAGCACAGGTTAACTCTGACACACATGAGGTTACCATGAGTAAAAACCAACAGTAGTGAGCTACAGTCTATTTTTAGAAGAGGAAAAGTCAAGAATCCATGCTTATGGGAAGGGAAAAACCATCCTGAACATTAATTCATAATTGTCTTGGCACACCCTCATTAAGATGATTTTGTGTCTGCTGCCCTTTGCCAGTTAGATTAAAGGGAGAGTCCTCTTTTGATGAATAAAATTATTATTTTAAAATAAATGCCATAAAAGTCTTTGGTAATTCGTCTATTTTATTTTATTGGTTAGTAGTTTTGAGCCATCAAAATTATTTGGGGTTAATTGCTTAACTTTAAAATATATGCTTAAATCAAGAAAAAAATAATGATAACACCCATCTTTATGTAGTCTGCTAACATTGCTCCCTCAGACATTCTGAGAAAGGCATTACAATCATGTGGCATTAATTGCAGGGTGACATCATTTATAGCTAAGGTCAGTGTTTTAAAGGATTATAAAATTTTACAATGAAAGTATAATCTATACTTCTCACAGAAACAAACATAACGAAATATTTAACTTTTTCTTTATAGATATGTTAAAAAAAAAACAAGTACAATTGCTTGTGCTGACGGCAAAACACACCAGTTGAGACACATTGTACTATGATGGAAAGAAAGCCAGATTCATTTTTATGATCCTTCAATTGTCATCCTGTATGTTCTTAGGCAAATCTCCTATTATTGCCCAAATTAGCAACACATTTATTCTTATCTATGTCAAAATAGTGTTAAAGCACAGAAATTGTTTTATAATTGCTCTTTTGATATACTGGATCTAAAAGAAGTCTGTCACTCCCTCCGCCATGTCCAGGACAAAGTAGAACTGCCTAATAGGGTTGGCAAGCCTGTAAAGCTTTACAGAAAGAAGCAGACTCAGACTACCACACCATTCTACTCTGTAACAACTGGGGTCTCAAACTGTTGACCTTTTGGTTAGCAGACAAGCACTTAATTACTGTGCCACCAGTGCTCTTCTCAGTGGAAGTCTATTGGTATTTCCCGCATTTCTGTATTTCACTACACACATGAGCTCTGAACTACATCTTATGTTACTTTACACCTAGTACCTAACGCATAGGTATATCATACACATTATTATTAAGTGACAATCATGAATATTTTGTGATCTTATTTTTAAAAGTATGGTTTTGTAAATTGGAAAAATAGCACCATATCACTGAGGTAGTTTAAAGAAGCATGACTTAATGTCTGAGCAAGCACTGATCTTCAGAAATATAATAGTTTTAAGTTAGAGTTTTTTATTTCACAGACAAGTATATCTATACAGTTGAGATAGTACTGAGATATTTCAGGAAGCCTTTCTCTTGAAATAAATCAGTCAACCTAGAAAAAGGCTTACTCAGATGGAAGAAAGTTTTCTGGGAATGCAATTTTATTAGTGCTCAATTCACTAATATTTTTGTATATTTACTTGAATAATGAGATATGTATCAATTGTATTAAAAGTTTAATTATTAAAAAGTGAATAATTGTCCCCATTGGTTCAATAAGGTGATACTATTTTTGACTATACATCAAACCAACCTGCCCTATTTGGAAACCCTATGCAGAGTTGCTATAGTCAGAACTGACTCGACCACACTTAACAGCAACAACATACTTATTAAGGAGACCTGGTATGGCACTGTAGGATAAGTACTGGGCTGCTAACCAAAAAGTCAGCAGTTCAAACCCACCAGCCGTACCTGGGAAACTCTACACAGTCTCGCTATGAGTCAGAACTGACTCGACAGTCTTAACAACAACATACTTATTAAGCATGTTTTCATATTTGAACTTGATATTTGATAAGTTTCTTAAAAGAGTGAATTATTCATACAACACTCTGAAAAAGTATGTTTCTACTGAGTATTTTAAAGATAGGAGAACCTCAGGGTTATTTATTTAAAATAGTTAATTGCTTCATTTATTACTTCAATTATGCCATGTACAGCGTCTTTTACAGAAAGCAATAGCTTAGTAGATTTGCTTTTCAGTAATCAATAAGCATATGCTTCCAAGAGGATATTTAAGAAAAATTTTGTTAAATTGTTGTTGTTGTTAAAAAAAAAAAAAAAAAAAAACCCTACTGGAGTAAAAGCTAATACTGGTGATTCTAAAATTGAATATAGCATACTGTATCCTTTACTTGAACAACTGAGGGCAAAATTGCCACTGTTTTTAGAAAAGTTTGTTTCTTTCAGATGCTTGCCAGTTAGATACTAAATTTACCACTAGAGGACACTGTCTTTCTTTGTTAGCCAAGTCTGACTGCAGAGGGAACTTAATTAGAACAGATCACCAGAAAGAAGGAAAATATTCATTTATCAAGCACAAAAGAGCTAATATTTTTGGTAAAAATGAAAACACAAAAAGTTTTTCAGTTGTATTTTTAAAAACAAGACTGCAAATGAAATACATTGATTTAAGTGTCAAACGTTTAGATAGAGTACTACAGTTTTCTCTTGGCCTCAGTTATAAGTGTACAGTAAGGCTAGTGAGATATATGTGCATATTATATATATAAAATCAATGGATCATTAAAATAGTACATTTAATGATAACATGGGAATATCATCATTTAGTATGTAAAAGAATTTAGGAAATACTTATGAAATGTGATGTTCAATATCTGTGATTTCAGGGGCCACCTGGGAAGGATGGACTGCCCGGACACCCTGGACAACGTGGAGAGACTGTGAGTGACCCTATTCTTCTAATAAGATAGATATTGTCTACCTTTAATACCTTAATAGTTTACAGAAACTGCTTGGTTTTTAACAACTCAACTACAAAGTTAAGGACAATTGAGGAATGTACTCCATTAAACAAACTTTTAAAATATGGGCATCAATAAACACACAATGGACCCATGTACCTAAATTAATATAATTGAATAATTTGGTTATCAGAGGTTATGATAGTTCTTTTTTGTCATTACTGGCACTTTAGGGAAGGTCTGAAAGATCCTTTTATTTCTGGGAAACCTCCCCAGGTTTTGAGGAAGTCTTTTGTTTATTGGCAATTCCGCCCACTTCACATACCTATACTCCCCAAAGAAAGCACATTATTATGACATGTAGGTGATATAAAATGCTTCTATGGACAATTAAATAATGAAACGTTTTCTAAGATTGGAAACATAAGGCTGTGATTGATCTGGAATAATATCAAATAGATCCTCTAACCTCAAATTAAAAAATTAAAAATTAAAAATGTAACTGGACTTTATTTGAAGACTTCAAGGAATAATAAAATGACATTTATTGATGTTTTAAAATAATTAGAGTAATAGTCCATGATTTTAAAAATGCTATAATTGATCTGGAATGATATCAAATGGATCGATCCTTTAACCTCAAATTAAAAAATTAAAATTAAAAAATGTAACTGGGCTGTATTTGAAAAATTCAAGGACTAATAAAATGATATATTGATGTTTTAAAATAATTAAAGTAATAGTCCATGATTTTAAAAAGATATTAAATAAAGATTTTAATAAAGATATTAAACATGCTTGAAGACGTGAAATAAACAAATTGAGATTTTTATCATGTGTAAACAATGATTTGGGCAGATCAGAAACTCCTCTTTCTGGCAACTCAGATGTTGCTTATGACTCTGGTAGGTTTGTTTGTTGATTTATTTATTCTGTGACTGATAAAAACATGTGCCTGGGTGTCCAAATGGGTTGTTAGTATAATCAGAAATCATCACAGGTTGGCAGGTTTCCTTGGAATCAATTTTCTGTTTTCACCATTGATTAGTTTTATTCAGATTTCTTAAGGAAACCACAGTGCTGACAATCATTGACTATGGAGCTCAAAAACATCTTAGGAAATTCCTCCAGCATGAGGACGGACATATTTGGAGTTGCATCGCAGTACATAATGTGTACATAAGTACATAAGCAAAAACATGAAGAATTTTTTGCCACGGGGGAAAACATTCTGTCAGCACTAAACCAATTCCTGTTTCATTCACCAAGTGAAAATTCTTAGTTTAACAACTTCTTAGGTTTAGTCAGATTGGAAGCCTCTAAAGCAGAATGATGAATGTTTTATTAAGACGTAAAACCAAAAGGAAGAACACACTCAGCATTTCTAAAGCTGGGGGAACTGAAGAAAATACTCAAGCCTCGACTTTCGTTATTGAAGGATTCTCTGGGCAAATTATTGAATGATGCGGACAGCATCAAAAGAAGATGGAAGGAATACAGAGTCACTGTACCAGAAGGAAATGGTTGATGTTCAGTCATTTCAAGAGGTAGCATATGATCAAGAGCCAGTGCTATTGAAGGAGGAAGTCCAAGGTGCATTGAAGGAATTGGCAAAGAACAAGACACCAGGAACTGATGGAATAAACATTGAAATCTTGCAAGAAAGTGAGGAGGCACAGGAGGCACTCACTCATCTCTGCCAAGAAATTTGGAAGACAACTATCTGACCAACTGATTGGAAGAGATCCATATTTGTGCCCATTCTAAAGCGAGGTGACCCAACGGAATGCAGAAATCATCGGAAAATATCTTTGATATCCCATGCGAGTAAAATTTTACTAAAAGTAATACAGAAATGGCTACAAGCATACGTTGACAGAGAAATTCCAGAGGTTCAAGCGAGATTCAGAAGAGGTCGTGGGACGAGGGATATCATTGCTAATGTCCGATGGATCTTAGCTGAAAGCAGAGAATATCAGAAAGATGTTTACCTGTGCTTTATTGACTATGCAAAGGCTTTTGATTGAGTAGAACATGACAAGCTATGGACAACACTGGCAAGTATGAGTATTCCTGAACACTTAATTGTGCTCATGAGGAATCTGTATCTGGACCAAGAAGCAATTGTCGAACAGATCACGGGAAGACTGAATGGTTTAAAATTAAAAAAGGTGTGCAAAAGGGTTGTATTCTTTCACCATACTTATTCAACCTGTATGGTGAATAAATAATCTGAGAATCTGGGTTACATGAAGAAAAACATGGCATCAGGATTGGAGGAAGACTCATTAACAGCCTGTGATATGCAGATGATACAGCCTTACTTGCTGAAAATGAAGAGGACTTAAATTTTTTCTGATGAAAATCAAAGAGCACAGCCTTCGGTATGGATGGCATCTCAATGTAATGAAAACAAAAATCCTCACCATTGGACCTATAAACAACATTCTTATCATTGGAGAAAAGGTTGAAGTTGTCAAGGACTTCATTCTTGGATCAACCATCAACACTCATGGGTGCAGCAGTCAAGAAATCAAATTAAGTATTGCATTAGGCAAATCTGCTACACAAGACCTTTTTAAAGTGTTGAAGAGCAAAGATGTCAGCTTGAGGACTAAGGTGCGCCTGACCCAAGCCATGGTATTTTCAGT